CTTATTTTTTTTCCAGGCTGGTTACAATGTAAATAGTTTTAGATTAATAAACTAAATTTGTGACTTCAGTGCAACCCCAATCCACATGAAAAATTCTAAACAGCAAATCCCAAGGCAAGGAAGTCTAGGAGAAGAACATTGTTTTGTCTGTAAGGCAAAGTGAGAAACAGCATTTGAGTTAATATGTCTAAAGATGAGGGAGCATTCTGTTCAGCAGTGAAAGGCAATGCTTCTTATGGTTATTGTAAAACATTTCTATAGTGCTGTAATTTTTTTCGGTCTCTTACCAAGAATCAGTAAAACACACACCTGCCCTGAAGAGCTTACAGTTGAAAGATACCCTACAAAGCAAAAGATGGTAAGGGCCCCACAATTCTGGAATTGAATTATATTTTGCAGGATTTCCTTCAAGCCTTCCTTGGAACAACAAGCACTTGGGGGCTAGTTTTCTCCTATGAGTCAAAGCCCTAGAGGTCGGCTGCGTGGAAGCTGCAGTTAAGAGCAATGACTTGCCATCAGTTTCCTTCTCCTTTCCCTAGTGCCTACTTTCCCAGTACCAGGATACTTTGCCTGCGTTTTAGGAACTGCTCCTATATTTAGGATTGTCTCTGTCTCATCCTTTATGGGGGATATGCCCCTAACCTTCATGTAGATATACAAAAAATGCATATAATAGCAAACCCTATTGAAATGAAAGATTTCCGGTCTAAAAATACGATATAGTCATACCGAAGGACCTAGAAAATGCCTAGAGATGACATATTTGGACAGGCAGGGTTAAATGAAACCACTGATACTGATTTCACAGATATGAGGGTCACACTGTATTTCAACATAGAAACTTTTCAGCACTATGAACAAAGAAACTTAACACCCACCAACTGCATCCTGGGCCCCTTCCACACAGCTGAATAAAATCCCAGATTATTTGCTTTGAAGTGGAATATATGGAAATGTGGACTCAGATATCCCAGTTCAAAGCAGATATTGTGGGATTTTCGACCTTGATATTCTGGAAGGGCCCCAAGTTGGGTTGCTCTCCCTACATTTCTTTTAAAACCCTCCTGCTTAGATACATCCTACCTCTGTTCATGCCCAGCGTTTATTTTTAAAATTTTAAACTATTACATCTGGCCCGGCCATAGGTTTTTACATTTTTGCATGTTATTGTCTATATGTGAGTTATATTAATTGTATTGTTTTATTTGCTTATTGCTTCGTTGATTTTACTGATGTGTTGTTGGGCTTGGCCTAGTGTAAGCCACCCCAAGTCGCCTTGGGGAGATGGTGGCGGAGTATAAATAAAGATGATGATGATGATGATGATGATTATTATTATTATATCATTCCTTCACCCCACCCTACCCTCAAATTCAGATTTCCCTAAAATCAGTGCAGAACTTTCAAGATTTCTCTGTTTAAAAGAATAATTTTATAGACTTCCTCATGAATAATTTTTGTTTTCTGTTGCCTGGCCATAGCCATTTGATCACACTGTTCTCTGTTCAGCACATGTGTCTTGATGTTCATCTATGAAATGTCAGCCATTACGAAACTTAGATCTAAATTTTGAGAATATTCCGATCACAGATTACTCTTACAAGTGAGTGGATGGAGAAGAGACATGCAATATTTGTTGGTTTCTCCCTCCCCCCACCCTTCAGATATGTGCATAAGATGTATATGAAACATAAATGAATTGTGTGATTACATTTGGGTCTTATCTCCAGTGTATCTCATTATATTTCTATGCAGGGATTCCAAAAATCCAAAATATGGAACACTTTTGGTCCCAACCATTCTGGATGATGGTTATTCAATCTGTATGCCCATTCAGTGAACCAGACACACCATAAAGATTAACATATTTACTGTGTGATGGCTTCCTCCTTGAAAATTGTTGTAGTTCATGACCTTTCCCACCTTAAGGCCTTATTAGCAGCTTCAGTGTGTATGTGTAGTTGCATACAAGGGTGCATGCTTTTATGCAGATGAACAGCAGAGGAAATGGGGGAAAGAGTTAACACTCTCTTGTATTGCATCTTCTTCCTGTTTATAATCTCATCTTTACAAATAATAATAATAATAATAATAATAATTATTATTATTATTATTATTATTTATGAATTCATTACCTGCCTCTCCTTGTGGCTTGAGCAGGGGCGCAGCATGTTTAAAACAGATACAACACAACACTATTGCAATGCATATAACAAAACATGCACAAGACTGACACCAAGATCAATAAAATGCAGGTTAAAATTCATCATTTAAAATTGACTCGGGCCCCATCTACACTGCTATATAATCCAGTTTCTGAATCAATATTATCTTATCTGAACTGGATTATATGAGTGTACACTGTCATATAATCCAGTTCAAATCAGATAATCTGGATTCAGAAACTGAATTATATGGTAGTGTAGATGGGGCCCGAGTCAATTTTGGGTAGGCATGCCAGAAAAAAAAGGTCAGTTGTGTCTTGAAATTAACTTGGTCTAGGGCAGCGGTTCTCAACCTGTGGGTCCCCAGGTTCCTACAACTTCCAGAAATCCCAGCCAGTTTACCAGTTGTTAGGATTTCTGGGAGTTAAAGGTCACAACCTCTGGGGACCCCGAGGATGAGAACCACTGGTCTAGGGAAATACAGGGAGAACCAGTGACTGGCAGAAGGGTTGAAATGTCAGCTTGGAGATGTGTAGACCATTAAACTCACTATGTGACCTTGAGCCAAGTACTATCTCTCATTCTGACTTTCCTTGCAGTGTTGTAAGGTCAAACTGGATAGGAGGAGAATCGTGTGTTGAACTGACTGGAGAAATGTCTGTGTTTGTATGTGCTTTCAAGTTACTTGTTGACTTACAGAGATTTCATGAATTTTATAGGGTTTTCTTAGGCAAGGAATACCCAGAGGTGGTTTTCCCAGTTCCTTCTCTAAAATATAGCATGCAGTACCTAGTATTCATTGGTGGTCTCCCATCCAAGAGGTGACCCCACTTAGCTCCCAAGATCAGATGAGATCTGGTGCCATGACTGTATTTAAACCTCTAGGAGTGGTAATGAATAAATACATTTTTTAAAAAAAGCTAAGAGAGATGATAAGGTCTTCACGTATTTTCTTCATCATGATGTTAGGGCCCATTCAGACAGTTATTTCTGAGATAAAGCCTGTAGTGCGGGAGTGGAATATATGAACTTTACCATGTCAGAAGAAGCCCTTGAAAACTGAGAGAAGATTTTCTCTGACACGGTAACTTTGAAGATTTCCCGGCAGGAGCCCTTTCAAAGAAATAAACAACAAAACATCTCATGTAAAGATTTTGCCTCATGAAACAACAAGAGTATCTCTGTACTTTCACTGTTTTTTTCCTGAGGGAAATCCTGTGCCACATTTTTACATGCATTGTTTCTGAATAGTTGTAACAGTGTATGTATAGATGCAATATTTATTACATTATAGTCTGTGCAATTCTTTTTCTTTTAGCAAAATGAGTTATTTGTAGGCTGGGCTTATCCGCATGACCGTTTGCAGAGCTAAGTCCCACTGGCATTTTTTGTTTTGAAATTTTGTATTTGAAAGATAGTGAGCTGTTGGTTTTTTCTATAAGCTTTCTGCTCCCCAGGTTCCTACTATCTGCATAACTTCAAGCATACCGAGACTCAACATATTTCTGACCCTTCTCTTATTATTTTGGCATGCTTGTTTCCTCCAAACTGCACCACTGCTAACAGCTTATTTGACTTAAAGACCGTTCACAAAACCAATTTAAACTCACTTTGATGTGGTAAATTCAGCTGGAGCAGATCTCTCTTCAGTGTGAGCCAGTCTCTACATCATTGTTCAATCATAGTTCACTCATAGCCTTCAAAAGACCTGTGATCTGAAATCACATTGAAACCATCACATGCTTGCCATTTCCAAAGAGGCAGCCACATTTGTCTACTGCAGCAGCATAAATGCTAGTCATTTTATATGCTTGCTTTTAAAAAGATAATTATTAATAAGAAAATATTTGGTATCCTACATTCAGATGTAGAAGTCTATAAATTTTAGTCTAATTCTTCCTTACAGGTCAGGAATGCACACCTTTTTGCCTTGTGCCTGTAGGGATTCAGAAACCCCAGATTTCTAGGTGAAGGGGGATTTTCAAGGTGGGAGCACTGGCCGAAAAACATTATTTGATGACACTTCAATCCATTTGTTAAAATCAGTGCTTGTAAGGTTCAAAGGCGAGCTGGGAAAAGTGTGCAATTTTGTGTCAAATGAACAACTTGGAAAATCAACTTCCAACTAGAGAAGTATTTTCTTATTTACTTCACTGTATTGTTCATCTAAATAACCTCCTGTGAGTAACTGTGGTTATCATCACTGGGGGTAGGGGTGGGGTGAGGTGGGGTCTGTCATATTTGACATTTACTCATGCATCTTATTCAGGTTTTGAAATCTCAGGCCCTGGAACCTGGCAAATCTGAGACGCATCACATACTTCCCCTCTCTACCATTCCACAGAGCTCAGAGTAAAGGGATAGTAAGGTTTAAACATTTCTTCCATGATCATTGAGATCAAGGGATTGCTGCCAAGATAAGAACTAGAAGGGAAAGTTATCTTAATTCTATTCCCCAGTGAAGACCATCAAATTTGGCTGTTTTTCCTCATTACTAATAGTGGGAAACACCATTTTGGAAATAGATTTGGGAGAAATGTTTGCCTCTCAAACAATATGTGTCCCTACTTACCACTTCTAGTTGAGATTAAATACTGATCTAAGAAGTTGTGAAATTATATCTGTGTGTGTTTCATCTTAGATCCAAGCTAGATTTGGTAAGGAGGACATTGGGCATGGCAAGGCAGGGTAGTAGGGAATTCTGATTGATGTTGTCCAAAGAATCCCTAATGTTCCCTAAATTAGGAGAAATAAGCAACTTTGTTTTCTTTATATCTAGAGGTTTCCTTAAAACTCAGTTGGGAAGTTCTAAAATCTTCTTTGTCCATTCTGCAGATGGGATCCACAGCGTGACAGCCCAGTGTGTTCTGCGTGTCATCATCATTACCGAGGACATGTTAGCCAACAGTATAACAGTGCGCCTGGAGAACATGTGGCAGGAGCGCTTCCTTTCACCCATTCTGGCCAACTTCCTTGAGGGCGTGGCTACCGTGTTGGCCACACCCAAGGAAGATGTTTTCATCTTCAACATCCAGAATGACACAGACGTTGGAGGCCAAGTGCTGAATGTTAGCTTCTCTGCCATGGCCCCCCACAGTGGCCATTTCTTCAGTTCGGAGGAGCTTCAGGAGCAGCTGTACATGAAGCGTATGACCTTGACCTCAGTCTCCATGTTGGAGGTCCTGCCCTTTGATGACAATGTTTGCCTTCGAGAGCCTTGCCAGAACTACATGAAATGCATTTCTGTGCTCAAATTTGACAGCTCTGCTCCTTTCATTGCCTCCCTTTCCACTCTCTTCCGCCCCATCCACCCCATCACGGGCTTGCGTTGTCGTTGCCCTCAGGGCTTTACAGGTGATTACTGTGAAATGGAGATCAACCTCTGCTACTCCAACCCTTGTCATAATGGTGGTGTCTGTACTCGCAAGGAGGGTGGCTACACCTGCATCTGCCGCCAGCACTTCACAGGTAAGGTACTCAATGTCATCATAGTTCATCATGGGCAGAGATAAAGCTATTTTTGTATGCCTATTGAAAGTTGCTTTTTGAACTGTAATTCCCAGAATCTACTGGCCACTGAAAGGTTCTGGAAACTGTGGACCAAAACATCAACTTTTCCACTGGAAGCGCCAGCGTTTCCAAGTTCTGTTCAATATTGGAAAGGTTTTGTGTGAAGAGGACACTGAGTGAAGTTTTTGTTGCTGTGTTTGTTCAAGTAATTTCTGATTGGTACCAACCCTAAAGCAAATCTATTATGTGGTTTTCTTGACATAATTTATTTAGTGTTGGTTTGACCTTCCTCTGAGGTTGGGAGAATGTGAGTTGGCCAAGTTCACCCAGTGGGTTTCTGTGGGCCAGGATCTTCCCATTCCTAGTCTAACACTCAGCACTGAAGAACATAAAAACTCAATAGTAGGGATGGAAGCAGTGATAGATAATTTTCCCCAAATATCAAACATTTACTATGAAAGTAGGGGATGGTGGGACCAGGGAAGAAAAAGGAGAAAATCTGGCATAATAGATTAATTATGGGTTAGTTGCAAATGTCTGGTATGTCGCGAGAAGAAAACAAAGAGGGTGAAGGTTATTGAGGGATGAGGAGTTCTTTTACAATAGTATCATTGTTATAACAGGTCTTCATCTCTATTTCTTTAACACATATTACATAATACATTGAGGATTCTAGCAATTTTAATTTTAAGTCCATTGGTTCTATCTTCTTCTGTCTTCTCACGTTGTCTCTTGGTCTTCATCAATTCTTTTCCCATTCTTCTGAATTTTTCATAGCAGATTATTTCACATGAAAACGTTTCTTAAATTATTTATTATTAATATCTACAAAGGAAGTTCTACAATTTTCATTGAGATTGTTAGTATGTTTATCTTATTATCATTATCATGCTGTCTCTCTTCTGTATTTATATCGGATATATTTTCCATCTGTAACTCTTAGGGTCAAAAGCTCTTCTGACTTAACCATAATCTCTCAGTATGGTAATATTTTTATAGTCCGTTTTTAAGAACTTCCCTGAGAGCTCCTGAAGGCCGAGTCTCTCAAACTTCTCTTTCTCGAGGTTTTGTTCACACTAGCCAATGTAGCCTTCTTTTGTATCAGTCTGTTTCATTCTCACTCTCTTTCTGTATATACATACATAAACACATTCATATATATACCTATATAGAGATTTTTGTAATATGCTTCTATAATTTCTATATCATTGATACTATGCATTTTTCTATTATAATTTCTTAACAGTTGACCCATCAGATAGCATCCATCTCTTAAGTTTTAACATACCAAATACAGAAGATAAACATATATTATTTATCTTATTTTTAGTTGTCAAATTCTGTCATGGTCATCTTCTTTTGGGTTTCTGTGAGTTTTCTGGGCTATATGGCCATATTCCAGAAACATCCTGGATGTTTCACCCACATCTATGGGAGGTATCCTCAGATCAAGTATGCAAGCCATCCATATTTTAAGTCTAATCCTTCTAGGTTAAGTAGCCTTTCATTTTAAAAAAATTCAACTGTTTTATCCAAATCCAGGCTGCTGCATCATAATATAGTCTCAAATTAGGTCATGACATTCCACCTCTCTCTCTCTTGAGTCTTGCAAATTTTTCATTTTAATTCTAGGTTTTTTGTTTTTCCAAATGAATTGTGTCAATTCTTTATTCCAAACCTTTCTTTAGACACCATTTTTGACCTTGTCTGGGGTATCCGTGTGCCACCAAACATGGGACCCTAAAGTCCATCAATTCTACCCACAGGTTGTAGATTATGGAATTTGAAGTTCATCAGCTTTGATTGCTCACAGATTCTCAGTGCTGCTCTTGACAAAAAAAAATCCAAGTGCTAGAGAATAGGTGTGCAACTGAATCCTTGCTGATGCAATATCAGGCTGCATATAATATGGCTGCTTATGAACAGCAGCCCAAAATTGCAGCCTTTTCTTTTGTATAAATGGGACAGAATTGCACATGGATAGCACCACAGTTATTTCCTCCTTATCCATGTACAGACAATGCTTGCTGCTGAGAGTTGTACTATATGCTGTGCGTAGATATTCTCCATCTCTGTGCAGTGCTCCCAGTCCAGAATGGAGATTCCGGTACTTATCTGAATACGAAAAGGGAATGTTGTGCTCCGTATTTGAAATGGCTTGTAGTTTAAACTAGTATTTAAACTAGTTTAGCCCTATTTCAAAGATGGACAAAGTTAGACTTAGGCAAACAATTGATCCCTCAACACTGTTTTTGTAGCCAGTGACCACTTTTTTTGGAGTGGGATGTGAACAGAGAGTGAATAATCTCTCCTGAAGCCCCCGGTGGCACAATGGGTTAAACCCTTGTGCAGGCAGGACTGAAGACCAACAAGTCAGAGGTTCAAATCTGGAGGGGGAGCACAGATGAGTTCCCTCTGTTGGTTCCAGCTCCCCATGCAGGGACATGGGAGAAGCCTCCCACAAGGGTGGCAAAACATCAAAACATCCTGGCGTCCCCTGGGCAAAGTCCTTGCAGACGACCAATTCTCTCACACCAGAAGCGACTTGCATTTTCTCAAGTTGCTCGTGACATGGGGAAAAAATTCTTCTGAAAGCTTCCAGGATGGCAATTCACCTTTTAGGTATTCAATTCCTTTGTACTGTTTACCAAAATTAAAAAAAAACACCAATTTCTGGTCATTTCTTTTCTCTTTTCTTTTCTTTCTTTTTTGAGGATAGGTGCAGTATAAGGAAGACTATGAGCCTTATCCCACACTAAATTTTCTGTGTTTTCTCATGCTGGCATAATGGAGTCCAACAGATGTCTTCCTATGAACTATGTCATGGGAAGACATCTGTTGGACTTCCCATGGCTGTGTGTGCAAATTCGTCTCTCACTGTGTGAAGAAGGAGAGAAAATGTTGCATCCTGGGGTAGGCTGCATCCCCACTATTTTCTCTGCTTCCCCCATCTTCCTCCTGTCCATAAGATGTCATATGTAACTGCCACAATTGGCCATTCCTGCCTTTGACTGTTAGCACTTGCTATCCATATCAAGCTGACTGTCGGTTCATTTCGCCACTGGACAGAAAATCAAGAAACAAAGGAACTGCTGGTTTATAAATGAAGAATAACCAAGTAACAGGCTTCCCAGGCCTAGCTTATAGCTTCCCCCCACACCCAACAGAAGTTGCTTGAGGTTGTAATTGACAGGAGTGAAAGACGTGCCTGGTTGGCAAAGAGATAAGCAAAGTCAGTGGTAATTAACCCTGAGTATCTGAAGTGTGAGCCCACATTAGGAGAAGGGTTAATGGGCTTGCTCCCCTGTCACTTCCTGATATCTCCCCCTTGCTTTTACAGAACTGGGCAGGAACAGAAAAATGGAGCAAAGAACCAGAGAAGCAATCTGGGGAAGGGAAGAGCCCTTTTCTCCTTCCCCTCCACCCCCTACATAACAGATCATTGAAAAGTATAATTTACACAAGACACTGCTTTCTCTGTGACCAGGCTACAGTGGAACCTTGGTATTCACTGGGATTTGGGTTCAGGACTTCCCTCCCCTGGGGATACCAAAATCTATTCTATTACTCTATTATGTACACTGGTGTGGTAAAATGGTGTCCCTTATATAAAATGGCAAAAATCAAGGTGTACTCTTTTTTTTCAAGCTGTGTATGGTCCAATCCATGGATGAAGAATTTGTGGATATGGGGGAGTCAACTGCATTTCACATTAGCCCAATAGCAGATGCTCCAATTTTCAGATACTTGCTCTACAGGATTCAGAACTGCAACCATTCATTAGACAGACCAGTGGTTCTCAACCTGTGGGTCCCCAGGTGTTTTGGCCTACAACTCCCAGAAAGCCCAGCCAGTTTAATAGCTGTTATGATTTCTAGGAGTTGAAAGCTAAAGCTTCTGGGAACCCACAGATTGAGAGATAACCGAGGCAGCCTCCTCAAGCAGCTGATTTGGGGTAACATGAAAAAACAGCACATTATGAGTTATTTAATGAATAGTTATGCAGTCAGAGAGAGGTACTTGTGGGATTTCCTGCATCAGATGCTAGATTAATTGAGCAGCTCTGTTACAATGCTTTCTCAAATAGGCATTCGCCATTCCATCTCAGAAAGTACAAAGTCTGGAGCACTGTTGCCAACATCTCTGCCTTTACCGGGTATGTCTTAACTAATGAGGCCAGAGATTGAATTCTTAACTTTCCCCATGTAAAGTGCCAATCTTCTGCTACTTCCCCGTTGTGATAAGCCTAAGGAGGACAAGAGGCGTACACAAGAAGACGGAAATGATAGTTCCCCGTTAGATTATCGTTCTTCTATCAGTATAGCTCTTAATCTATATAAATAAAAATTTAATGTTCATTTGTGGGATTAACATAACTCAAAAACCACTGGACAAATTGGCACCAAATTTGGACACAATACAACTATCAGGCAAACAAGTGACCATCACTCATAAAAACACAGCAGAAGGGACTTAAAAAGCCAAAAAAGCAAAAAGATGCTACAGCACATGTGCAAAAACGACTCCCCCTGGCAAACAAAACACATAATAGCATATCCACACTCTCATCCAGACTACAGCTCCCAGAATCCCCTAGACCAGGCCTTTTAGGAGAGGAGGATGATCCAAATGCACTGCTTCCAAGCTGCAAGCTTTCTTCTCCTTGGATTTCTTTGAGAGCATCCCAATCCCTGCATATTTCCAATTTCCTATTCCTGGACTGCAACTGCCAGCAATCCTCCAGATAGACAGATTAGATAGAGATATGGAGGTGGGTAGATAGATGGATGGATCAGGAGGACTGATGGGAGTTGCAGTCCAAGAATATGTAGAGAAGGAAGAAAGGGAAAAAGAGGAAGGGAAAGAAAAGGTGGGCGTGGAAGGGAAGAAGAAGAGAAGGAAGGAAGGAGAGAAAGAAAAAAAGGGGGGAGGAAGGAAAGAAAGAGGGAGGGAAGGAA